AACAATTTATTTCATAGTTTTGCTCGTAAAATTACACCATTTTGTAATGTCGGGTAGCATCAGAACAGGACACTCATATTTTTTTTAGTTTATTTCAAACTAAGTACATGTAATTTTGTCGTCATATTAATTACATGTTATTTTAAGGTAAACCAAATTAAACGAGACAAAAAATGCATAAGTTTTTATAAACAGCGTTTAATTATGATGGTTAGGAGTAACTTTATTTAAAACAATTAAGTTTAACAAACAATTTATTAGATGGTTGTGCTCATAAAATTTAACTAACAATTTATTACAATATAGTGCATTAAGGACAAAAGATGCGTTGCGATTGTGATAGTTATTATTGTGATAAACGCTGTGGACTGTACGCGACGTGTGCTTGCGTCGGATAGATGTGCACACCCCACCAAAACGTGGCAAGGCGTCGGATAGCATCGGGTAAGTGTGTTCCTGGCTTTATCCACGCACGGTATTATGATAGCCACAAACCAAACCAGCAGTCATCTAAGAAGTTAACAAACCCCTATTATTCAAGTGTCCAAACGAGATGCTGATTTGCGAATAGTCGCCTTTCTACTCGCTGCATCTTAAGTAAAGAGAACCGCACTTTTACAGACTAGAGAATCCTTCTGATCTCTGTTTCAGAGCTCACCCTTACATTACGGACCATTTGAGTTGACTACCGATCAAGGAAGCCGTTAATGTCGGTTCCGTAGTGCGGAAAGAGCAACAAAACGATCGTCTGTAGCCGTTATTTCGCTGTCGATCACAACCTTTTCTTCGATCGAGACTTCCGGTGTCCCTAAACCGCTAACGCTATCTTGGAGAACGCGGCATACCCAGGCTATGTGCTATGTGTCCAACTAAGGCCAAAGCAACAGCCCGGGCGTGATCTCGACTTAGAACCATGCTATTAAGAAAAATAATTATTTTACTCAAATTTATTGCTTCATAAAAGAAAACCAAGTAAAAACACAACTCAACCTACATGTTGGGTCTGGAAGGGATGAAATTGAACTTATTTTCTTAACTTTTAATGTAAAGAGGGTGAAATAATGGTAAACAACAAGTTATTTTTTTTCCCCCTTCCCCCCCCCCGGCTAACTACCTTGGTCATCGCCGGCTCCTCACATATAAACCTTCTCGCATTTTCTTCTTATCTATCTTATGTGTATATTCTTTTCTGAGTCTTCTTATGCCTCAACTAAACAACAGTTGCCTTCCGATTCACCTAAAAGGGGATTCGTTATCTTGTTTGTTGTTTCCCTCCCACACGTGATAAATTAAAATAAATAGATATAATATTTACACATTTTCATAATTCACATTCATACTAATTTACTAACCTATACGACAACTAAATTGGAGGTCGGAAGATTATCGTGATCTTGCGGCCTCCTGTCTTTCACACTAATAAATACGTTCAAACTGTATTTACAAGTCCCACTCACACTCGTTATTATTGTTGTGTTTACCTTTTAAGTCAACTGTTCATCTTTATACGTAGTTATTACGGAAAATAAACAAATAAAAAAGTGTCCGGTTTTTAATTAATTTTTTGTTTGTGAGCGTATTAAAAAATAATAACAAAACACTCATTTTCTTCCATTATATAATAAAGATTTCATTTACAAAATAACTAGCCTTTTATAGCTAGCCAAATTTAATCCAAATAAAAATCTTCTAATTAGCTCATAATTAAATTATATATATTCCATCCAAAAAAATTTCCCCTTAGGAATTAATAATTTACCTTATGTTCAGTATGGTTGAATCTAATATCCTCCGGCTTTTTCGAAAATCCGAAAAATTTTTTTTTAATTTTGTATAATTTGGCATTCTGAGGAAGTAAAATTGATATAATTGCTCTAGCCGCTTTTAAAGTAACCCTTTGAATTTTGTAATTGTTGTGGGCGCAACAATTTTCATATTCCCCGTTTTTTAAACCCAATAAATTCTGATTACGTTAAAATCTGCCAAAATCCTTATATACACATTGCATGTAGATTAATCATGATGTATGATTTTTTCGCATGGGAGAGTATTTTCAATTATATTCCAGATACGTTTTTTTTAAGTGAATTGACTTTTCAATTTTACTGAAATATTTATCATATGTGACGTTTATGGGACATTAAAATACAAATTAACATTTTCCTACAGTCCCCTTTTAAATGATAATAGGTTAATAAATTTACGAACAAAAAGTTTAATAGTTAAAACAGCCATGTAATGTGAAAATGAGCTGTTAAAATCCTAGATTGCATTAGAATTTTAATCAGATTACAAAAATATATTGCCTTCAAAAAGATTTTTCGCGAAATAAATTTCAAACAAAGACGGCCAAAATAAATATATGCGTCTTGACATGAAAAATACTATAGGGAAAAATGATACAGGGCGAGTTTTTCAAATGTCAGAATTGTTACTAAGCTCTCGTATGTCGTCGTCATACGAGGATCATGTTGCATCTTAGAATGGGCCTTGACACTTCGCTTATGGTTCGCCTTTTTTATCTTGCCTTGTCCGGCTTGATTTATTCCGTTCACAACAGTCCGGAATGCCGTTCTGATAAGGTGTGCAACAAGCTTTTTGATAAAACAAGCAGAATAGATTTTATTCGATTATTTAATATACAATTCAATCGGAAATGTCAAATTTTTTAACAATTGATCAATCCTTTTGGTAAATACACATACATTTGGAAACAGTGATGAAATTTAATTTGTAAAAATGTTAAGAGTAATTTCATTATAGCACAAATAGCTGTACAAACCTACTTCGGATTTTGTTATTCCAGGGTGTGACCTAAGTCTAACCCGTCCCTTCGTCGGCTCCAGGGGCTGTGGATAACTAGGTCATTTTAACTAGCCCCCCATCGTATAATTTTTATAGTCCACTCTCACTTATTATTAAATATAATCTTTCTTATTTACCTACGAGTACTCAATATCAAACATCATCTCGTTCACACTATACATTCACTCTAATAAATCAAATCACTCCCAATGTACACAAAACAAGATATCAATCAATACAATACAAAATAAAACACCGAAATGCTCGCTACTCATCCCAACGGATAGTTGAACGTTAAGCCATTTTGTTTGACAGGAATTAAATTTACTTTATATCTATAAATATTTTTCAATTAAATAATCTTTATGTAATGTATTGGTTGAGATAAAAAAGTCAGTGTTACGAGCGGGATTCGAACCCACGACCTTCGGCTAGATACGCCGCTGCTCCATCACTTGAGCTATCGTGATTTCGATCCCCACCTTTCGAATTTTCCCTCCTTTTTGCCATTTGTCAAATGTCGTGTAATCTATTTGATTCTCGGCGACAAATGCACAAAAGAGGAAAAATTCGAAAGGTGGGTTGAGGTGGGAAGTTAGTGGATCGAAGTCACGATAGCTCAAGTTGTAGAGCAGCGGTGTATCTAGCCGAAGGTCGTGAGTTCGAATCCCGCTCCTGACATTGACTTTTTTATCTCAACCAATACTTACATAAAGAATAATTAATTGAAAAAAGTGAATTCTTTAATCGGACCACGAACTCTAATGGATCTATAAATATTTATAAACATGTAAACAGTAAACCTATTTCAATGAATACTTTATGAGTACTTATGTATCAACTTATAAGCAAACAGCAAAAATTACATAACTACTAGGGTTGATGACTACTCAATAGACCGCTTCGCTCACAATAGAATCATGCTAATAAATACATTCAATTTCATGAGACTCTTTACATAAAAAAAATTTATTATGTTGATAGCCCTGTTTCCTCCAATAATTGAAAACATGGCCAAGGACAATTCTCATATCAAGTGGTATTTCGACTCGCAATCTATATAAAGCCAAAAAAATGGCACACTTCAGTTCATATCGAGCAACCTCTGCAAGCCGGACAAAACGGGGGCTTTGGCTCATAAGGGTCCGTACGTCAACTTGGTTTATTCTTAGTCGGGTGAATATGATCCTTCTTATTTGATTTAGGTCCTCCGAGGGCAACCTATCGACCGAGGTCTCGATACGCTACAGCTTCTCTACCGACCCCTCGCACCAACGATTCCATTTCTTTTTAATCATGTTTTTAATTACATTTTTAGCGTCAGAGCACCGGATCGCGGTTGTCAGGTTCGGAGGACTTCACTTTAATTTCTTTATTTACTAGAACATTTCTATTTTACATGGATAAAATCTTTTTTTTTTTTCAATTGTTACGGCTAAATTAATTTGGAAAAGATATAATTCTTCTGATTAATTGAACTTTACAAGTTATCAGTTATGAGTATTTCAGAATAATTATGAATCGTTCTATTTTTCTAAGTAATCTTCTTTGTATGGAGCGAGCTGCAAGGGCCAAATGTTGCCGAGCCCCAAATTATTTTTTCCCCACAAAAGCTAAAAATAAGAGAAAGGCAGGAAAAATCATAACAAAATTAGTTCAATTCAATAGAAAATATTTTATTTCGAGTTTGCATGCTCTTTTATCATTTGTTCATCAATTTTTTTCGTTTAAATTATAACATATTATGTACAATTGGAAATAATTTATTTACATAAATCGACAATTTATTATAATAAATATAAATTTACAACAACAAATCAAATTTGCCAATATAATACATATAACTGCACTTTTCTATCTTTTCGACAAAGAGCACCAATTAAAAAAGATTTATTTTTTAATTGATAATTTCTATATATATTTTTTTTTCAAAGTATCATAGGAAGGGAAGCAAAAATAATATAATTTTGAATTGAGCACAGCGCATTTCGTTATTCATATAGTTTAAAGTACTAAGACCCTCTTTCTGGAAATCTTTTATTTATTATTTATTATTAATAATATTATTATTCTTTCACAAGAAAACTCCATTCAGTCTTTTTAATTTTTATTAATATGTTAATTAATAAAGAACGACAATTTCCAAATTTTAACAGAGAGAATAATAATCAATTTCACTTTTTTTTTGTTATACAATACTTTACAATTTGTTTCTATACAATGAGACTAGTGTACAACCTAAACATTTAAACATCTCCTTCCTCATAGTAACCTACCTCAAAATATATTATAATTCGATTATAACCAATTGTGGCCATGTTCCACACGGTTTAATATTTTTTTCTGATTGGTTTGTATTCTATTGTACAATAGTCGTTAATAACACTGCGAAATAGACGAAAGCGCAAATTGAGTGAAAAAGTGAAAAATATATTTGGGAGTAGGCAAACTATAGGAACAATTCAACGGCCGGTCGAAAACGGCCCCAGAGATGACTGCCTTTCTTTACAGCTAGATAAGTCTACCAAATTTTGTAATCACATTAAAAATTATTAAAAAGTAATAAAAATAAAAAACGACTTGCGGAAGGGTTTTGAAAGACGACCACCCAAAAACTTAGGTCTGTCGACTATTTTTAACAACTAGACGAGTCTACAAAATTTTGCAATTAGATATTAAAATTAATAAACAATAATAAAACGACATGTGGAAGGTTGAGAGGCGAGTACCAAAAGGTAGGTTTATCAGTCTTATGAAAGCTTACATGAATAAAATAAAAAGTACATAGTAGCGGTAAAAAGTGTAAAAAAGAAATATTATACATATCGAGAAACTTTAGGTTGTACATTTGACAAAAATATATTAAGATGACAATATACACAGTCCAAGGGAAATTATAAATAATAAATTAATAACAAAAAAATTACATATATACACACAAAAAATCACTGGTAATCTTTAGTTTATCATTTTCTTGAATCCTTCCTTTTTCTTAAATATTATATTTTTCATCTCATAACAAGGCTTTTACCTTCTAGACAAATAGATTATTTACAGTCGTCTAATTCGTTAACATATCACTATTTAGAAGCGGAAACTTACACAGGCTAAATAATCACAAATGCCAAGCACGAACAGTACTGAAGTTCAGTTCACAGCACACCTGAAATCAAACAAAAGACACGTTAATAACTTCAAAACAGATTTGTTTAATATAATCAGCATTTACTGTAACAAGTATAATAAAATTGTAACGCGAGTGATAAGATATTTTGTCAAAGCCTCCCCATTTTTGTGGTTTTACTTCAACTCCTGGCATTATTTACAATACGATTAACACTAGGAGGTGGAAAGGACAAACGACAGGGAACACGACGAGAAGGGTTCAGGCTTAATTTCCTGCTACGGCTTGCCAGGGTCAGATGTCGCCTGGAAATTGTTCGACTGCCGGCTGCGCGCCTTCATTCGCCCGGTGTCAACATAATTTTATGCCTCCGTTCGCATTTGTTTAACCGTGGCAAATGTTAAAATGAACGTTGCACTTACAACAATTACTTTATGAACACGTTTCAACTAAAAGATCTAAATTTAGGTTTAAAGTATGCAGACATGGGAATATCAAGAATAGTTAGATTATCAAGTTGATACTACTCAAGAATACTCGATTATCTTTCATATTCAAGTATTAAAACAACAAAGTACAGGTATCGTACTACATAAATTTATCGATTAATCCAAAGTAGTTAACTATGAAACCATAACCGTTTTGTACTTAATTTTATTTATAAATTCATTTTTGAAAAACTTACATATCCCAAATCATATAACTTCAAGGCGGTGTTGATAATAATAATTTATCAACGTATTTAACGATCATTTTAACGCTTTCACAGACATAAATATATAATTATATTAAACAGGAAGCACGACAGCAGGTTAGCGACGGTAATACGAGACGAAATAAGAAGGAGGGAGTACTGGAAGAAGAGAAAAGAAGCTATAAATTGGATCGGATAGAGAATACTAGAAAAGTTAATGGATTTTCAAATTGCATCTAACAGAGTAATGCAAAGAGTAGTAGAAAGTAGAGGTCGTAATAAATCTAAATAAATAAATTCTTGGATTGAATATGAAAAATAATTTTTGTATTGTATAAATTCACTTTTCTCCACATCCTGCATGTATTTGTTAAATGTAAACAATGTTTGTAAATCCCAGGCACTGAAGATGATCTCAATAAAGATCGAAACGTTGGCACGATAAAGAAAATGTTTTTCTGAAACCTACATCACACCAGACCGCATCTCACGATTTCCGAATAATCATCGACTAACGGTCACTAATCACCACACATTTCGTAATAAAGATTCATTACTACATTGGCTACATCCTATTGGGTTAAAATGGTACATCTGATAGTATTCTCAATTTTTTATTGTTTTCCATTTTTCACAGTCCTAATGGGATTTTATTGATTGTTTGAATAAATAACCACATTTTATTCCTATTCTGTTCAAGTTTTAATAAGAGTAACTGCATAATATATTAACTCTAACGTATAGTCTTGTTTGTGTTCTATAACAAGTTTTACAAAAAGAAGCCAATAATGTGAAAATAATAATATAAATATTGTCGCATTGTGTATTTGTAACCAAGCCGATGATGAAACAACCAAGCAACAGGTTCATCACCCAGCATACTCAAAGAAGAAATCCCACAATAAGTCTTTTTGGCATTTTTTTATATTATAAGGTTTTATTATTTACATTTAGAGGGCTGATGATTAAAAAAAGTGCACAGAATGCTAAACGAATAGTCATGGTTTCTTTACACCTCTCATGATTGAAACTTCCAGATCACAACAATTTTCTTGAAATTGCGTTCGGGTGGCTGCAGGAATTTTAATAAATCCAAGAAAGGACGTTAATTAAAAGGCCGGTTATTAAATTAAGAGTAAATGTGGAGGGCAAGTTTAATTTACAAGAGCAGAAGCGAGTGTGGAGTAGGAAATATAATTTAACCTGAAAGTACTCTCTTTCCCTTTCAAGGGTTCCATCAACTAGACAGCCGGTACGACGGCGGTGCGGTCGCACAGGATATTTATTAATATATTATTTATGAGAGCGAAATATATATAATTTATGTAGGAGAGCATGGGCGTGGTGGGATCCCTTTACCATCAATTCGTTGGGCAAATGGCCGGAGGCTCCGTCGAGGAATAATGTGTAGTGGTGGGCCCGAGTTTTATTGCGTTACCGTGGAGGAAGACAGAGGGAATCTGGCGCTAAGCCCTAAGGCCCTACACAGTTACTAATAGCACAGACTTAGCTTCCAAACCTTGAGAAATCGCCTCTTTCGCCTTACATTCTCTACTCCCTCCGTCGAACCACTTTTATTGCATTACATTCCGTTATTTATTGATTCCTTACCATCCGTGTGACCAATTAGGACTAGGACCAAAAACCGGCCGGCCACCTTTTGATCTCGTCCGGGACTGTTTGTAATAGTCGGGCTCATCGATTAAAAACTCCCTACTTCGTTACACCGAACGGAGAACAAAAGGAATAACAATCCGGATTTGTCATCAATAACGTTCTATATTCGACGTCCGTAATCGAGCGCCAAGTTTAATTTCACGCTCCCGATTCCCTACGGAATTTGCCCGGAATAGCATCAACGGATGAGTAATTAACCGGTTAACCACCGATTTAACTCGGGACGATCCATTACAAAGAGGAAAAAATCTGAATGAAAGCGTAATACTGTTTAATCTCAGCTCATGCGACTTTCGAATATCTCATGTAACGATTTTTTCCAGGCCCTGGGGCGAGTAATTATTACAGGGATCCAGCTTCGGCGGACGAACAGAATGCAGGGGCAATCATTAAACAGGAAACGCCGATTAGCGTTCAAACGAAACCACGTGGAGCGATCCAATTTCAATACTTTCAACGGATTTATTGACTACAATATCAAACCTACGTGCATATTTACTACATATTTGCAAACAATTATACAAACTGACAAACCCTGAAATGTTAGGAAATGACAAATTTTCATACCCGTACCTGGCTAACTCCAAAAATATTGAACATAGATCAAGCTTGATTTACACTTGATGTGAAATAGTTTATTCACTCATTATCATTAAATGTCCATTATGAAGGGAAACAGCCAGGTAAGTAACGAGGTTCATTTGCAATAACGCATTTATGTCGGAATCGGCGATGGGAAGGACCCGGCTTTACTTAAGCCCGATATAAACTGTCTAATAGGTAAAGTTTACCACTAACCTGTTTAGGTCCTTATGTAATCAAAATTGAAAACGAAGGGGAAGCGGAATTTATGAAGCGGGACATGGAGGGTAATATGGCCGGATCCCATGAAATAACTTCCCCCGACCACTCTTATAGATTAATATCCTGTATAATTGGTCCGGTTAACCCCTCGGGTAGTTCGGGGGTACGCGAATTTACAAGATCCGGGCCGTTTCTTCAGGTGAGTTATCGAAACCCTCTTTCCAGAAAACAGCCCCACGGGGGTTAATTTATTTTATTTCCTAGCCAGTCCTTTCTAATAGCCATTTTATTTAAAATCGAACTGTTTAAAAGGTTTCTGTGAGGACGGGCTTTTAAATGTTAAGAGTGAAACAAATCCTTTGAAGGATTTATCTTAAATCAGTGATTATCGGAATAGAGAGAAAACACATGATAGCCCTTAGAAACCAACACTCTCCATTCCTTTGCAATTACAACACACTCTTTAATTATTTTTTATTCAGTGTTTTCACCATCGCAATAACCTCTTTACTAAAGATAATTCGAAAGTAAACTACATTAATTAAAAAATAAATATTTGTAAAACTTTAGATAAACGTGAAAAAGATAATCGTCACAACAAACATCCAATGAAAACGGAGAAATATTCTTCAATTACCAAGGTGCATTAATCTAAAACGATAATCCTTAACAACAACAACAACAACAAATAATGTAAAAATAGTTTAAGAAACATTTTCAACCGAGTGGAAGAGTTGATGCTTTTAAAACAACGGGCGGCGCAGGTTTCAAAGAGAACAACTTTCCCACAATTTGGAGTGTGACGTAATCCTTAAATGGAGCATGAATGTTTTCAAATTTCTGGAGAGAGAAAAAAAACAGGAATCGAAAGTGGAAAACTCTCACTTCGAAAATCATATTAAAAAGCTTTCAGAAAATCGTGTAGTATATTGGGTTAATATTTATAATGGGAGTTTCTTTGTATAAAAGAAATAAGTGAATACAGTACCTCCAGTTTTAACATGAAAACAACTATACTTGGGAGAAGTCCGATGATAAATGTCATGAAGATAAGATAAAAGATAAATTACGGAAGCGACGAGGATCCATCAACTTACATGGACATTTTGTTTGTTTCATATAAATCCTAGAGAATCTGACGCGTTCGTTAAATTTATATTGTACCTAAATGGTTCTTCAAATCACGATTGAATAATTTTTCATCATCGAAAATAATTTCGCGAAGCGTGTGAGTGGTTTCAAATTAAGAAAAAAATCATCTTCGGTCTTTTCTTACAAAACTAAATATAGGGAGAGGCGGTGAAGGAAAAACACGGTGAAGTATTCAATTACAAAATAATTAATGCTCTCTCCCTAAGCTCTCCGAGTGCGCAATTAAAGCAAAAATGACTTAAAGAATGAAGCAGGCCGTTAGGGGGCGATCCATCTTTTTTCGGTGGGAAAGACTTAACTGGCTGCCAGGATTCTCCAGATCTAATGACAAAAGCCCAGATAGGGATCTTAATAACTAAACGCCATTGTTCTAGGTGTGTATTTTGGTGAGGGCAACAGGAAACAGCGAGCTGATATCCGGTCCCGCCTCCTGTTTTGTTAATGACGTCGTATCCCCAAAGGAGGATTGGTCGAAAGGTGAACCAATTAGGTACATGCAAGAAAAAAGGTCGCGGACCGTAATTGAAAAGAGTTCAACAAGGAGGGGATAATCAGTTTGCGGATTATCGTTTCAAATTGTTCAAGATAAGAAAACCAACCATGCCATTATGTCTTTTTTAACCAAAAATATTCTTTCTGCTTAATAGAAAAAGAAACCTCCAGTGCAACAGGCAACAAGCTAACAATGGAGCTTTTCTCAACCCAATTTGGC